AAAAAAAAAAAAAAAAAAAGAGAAAGGAGACAGCCAGGGTGAAAGGCGACGAGGAAGAAGAAAGGAAGGGGAAGAGAAGAAGAGGGTTGGCAAGGAAGGAGAAGCCGACAGCCATAGCTCCCCGGAGGTGTTGACCGGGGAGTTGACCGGCGTTGACCGAGAGTTGACCGACGTTGACCGGAGTTGACCGAGGTTGACCAGAAGTTGACCGGAGGTGTTGACCGGGGGGTTGCCTGCAGCGTTGACCGGCGTTGACCAAGACCGTTGACCACGAGTTTGACAAAGTTGGAGCCGGTATATTCTCGCCAAGCCTTCAGCCTATCCCCTCGCCCTATGGATGTGCACACACCCTATGGTACTTGCTGAGTCAAGTCCGTCTGTCTATTCTTTCTTCATCGAGTCTCTTCTGTCCAGGTGATAGGAACTCTATGGATGAAGGATAGGGCCTTGTTGACCAAACCCACACGGGCTGAGTAGGGCTAAAGACTGTGTCTGACGACTCGACTGTCCCAGAGGCCTAACCCTCCCAAGGACCGGTATTGACCGACGGGCTGCTCGGTGTGGCACGGTAGGCCCAAAATCCGAGCTATGGGCTGCACAACAGGCCGTCTAAGTGTTGAGAGACCTGTTGATCGCGTCGTCCTGTTTGCGACGTTAAATAATTCCTGAGGAGTTATAGGGGATCTCCTTAAATGCCTCCTGATCAGCAACACGTCTAGTAGTGACAGCCTTAGAATAGGTCTAGGCTAGAGACCCTAGTTGGCAGGATCCCTGTCAGGATTCTGTGAGTCCTTAGAGTGAGTCAATAGGTTTGTCAGTCAGGGGTTAGAGTCTACGTGGTGAGGTTTGGAACCGCTAATCCGGTTGTGCACTAACCACCATGGTTGAGACCCGTAGTGGGAAGGATACTAGACCCTACACCCAGGAGCAACAAGAGAAGATGGCCGCCTTAGTGAGAGAGAATAGGGAGAGGAAAGAGCTCCTGAAGCAAGCTAAGTTAAAGGCAATCGCAGAAGAGCAAGCGGAAAAGATTAAGAAATTAGAGGAAGAGATGGAGGAGAGGAAAAAGGCTGCTGAGGAAGAAGCGGCAGCAGAAGCAGAAGCAGAAGCAGAAGCAGAAGCAGAAGAAAGGAGGCGTAGGGAAGAGAAAGGGGAGAGTAGTGGCACGACGGGTGAAAACGCAAAGATGGAGAAAAAGATTAGTGAGTGGGTCGCTAACCTATCGTTGGGAGAAGACGAGGAGGCAGAGATGTATGTGCCCCAAGAAGAGAAGGAGGCGTACTTGAGATGATCGAGGACCCTCTGGAACGACGAGAGGCAAAGGAGGAGAAGAAGTTGGAGTGGAAGTTGAAGATGAAGAGGGAGAAGAAGAGGAGGGAGGAAGTTAACCGGCTGACCACAGAGGTGGAAAAAGTGAGAGCCTGTAGACAGGAAGTGCAGGCGCAGGCAGATATTTCTGCCAAAATGGATAAGATGCTGGGGTACTTGGAGGTGTTGAGCAAGGCTTGGCTGGAGGAACGTCAAGCCAACCGGGGACAAGAGGTAGCCCTGAGTGCCATGCGGTTGGGATTTCATGACTTTGTGCGGGATATGGTTACTCACGTTGGGGGAGAAGTTAGGCGGTTGAGAGAAAACGTGGGAAAGTTCTGTGAGGGCGCCATCGAGAGCGCCAAAGCAGTAGCCGCCGTTGAGAGCGAGGCCAGACCCCGCAAGGACCCAGTCAAGCTTAAATTACCGGATGCGTATGGAGGGAAGAAAGACGAAAATTTTGATAAGTGGGAGGCTAGCGTTAACACCTACGTGTACTTACAACATATTCTGACTGAGGAGCAAGTCCTCATAGCCTTCCAGGCCCTCAAGGATGAAGTCCAGTTTTGCCAGGTCTCTCTCGCGCGCAGTCGGTTGTGAAAACAACCTGGTTGCATACTCCAAGATCACCCCTCTCCCTCACTTCTTCAAGCTCCTAAGGGAGCGATTCGCTAACCCAACGAGAGGCGTTAGAACCTCTGATAGGTTACAGACTATCCACTCACAACAGTGGAGGAGTGCGCGAGCACTCAACGGTGTCATGGACGACTTGGTAGCCTTCCCAGACCACGGGGTCACTGAGCCCCTGATGGTCCAGTTATTTTACCGTGCCATGCCAGAGCCCCTGCGTGGGCACTTCTTTGACAAGTCTCAACAGGCCGACATCACCTATGATGTGCTGAGTAGAGAGGTGGTCCTGTTCGAGTCAAAGTCCATGCCAGTATCCACTTTTTGGCATAAGGACTTGGAGAAGGGTAAGAAGTGGAAGGGCCGTACCATCTCAAGCCAAGTTAGGGCCAAGGATCACATGATCCTTGCTCTAGAAGAAGGTGGTACCGATGAAGTCCCCTACAGCGAGATTGAGTGGGGGCTAGAAGAGGAGGACAACAGTGTAGGGCAACGGAGGTCCTATGCGGCTGTCGCGGCTGGAGAACAAGGGAACCACGAAGTGCGAGGTAGGGGTCAAGGTTCCCCGCCGAATCGTCAGGGTCGTAGTCGGTCCCCACGACGAGGTGGAAGGCCACCTCAAGGAGGATGGCACCCAGGCTTGCCACAGGGCAGGCCCTGGGAAGACTTGGGCTTGGACCAACGCATATGGCAAGAGCGCGTGGACTTGGGTCAGTGCGTGTTTTGTGGTGACCCGGCCCACGTAATTAAAATTTTGTCCTAAGTACATTCAGGCCCAATGGGCTGCCCAACAGTCAAAAGGCAGTTGCCAGTAGGGGTCGCAACTGCCCCTACTTCAAGGCCATGTGGGGAAGCGAGCGCGTGCGAACAAGAAACTCCCAACCCACATGAGCCTATGGCAGAGGTTGCAGGCCCGTGCCTAGTTAGCTGTCCAGAGATTGCTTGTGTTAGCGTCTCTCTAAGCACGTCCCTCACAGGCATGGCAGAGGAACTGAAGGAAGAGGATGCCAACCTGGGCCAAAATGAAGAAGGAGAGTATAGGACAACTAATTTTGGTGGATGTAGAAGTGTTTAGAAGTAG